AAGTAACTATTTTAAACATACCATTATTAGTTATCACATCCATTTCCTCCTAGTCTTCAAGTTGTTACTATACTGTAAATCCTTTGGACAAAGAAAGCCTTACCTGTGTCTAGTGATTTAGGTGCATTCAACAGTGTTACAATCAGTAAGAATTTAGTGCTTAAAATCAACTTGTCCCTTTTTTTAAATAATGATTTCAATACAGGTACCTAAGCAGTGGGTTCAGACATTTAAAACACTGTACGTGAATTTTTAGTTTTCTCTCATGAATACAGTCTTCCTCAGTAGCAGCACGGGGTTGAGCTTAGTTTTGTCAGTTCTTTTAGGGTCTTTCTGGTAAAGTGTAATGGGATAAGTAACTCAGTCTCTCACTTAAATGCTCAGCCTTTCATATTTTTTCCTCTTCTCACTGATCTTCTCCCAGATGTTACAGAGAGGTTTGTGGCAGTGGGAAATAGAGATAGCTTGCATGATTCTTGACTGTGAGAGAGAAGGGGCCTCAAATTTACTGGAGTCCCTTATGCTGTCCTCTGGTTTCATTATAAGGTGGCTGGTGTAGTGTAGTCCCCAAGCCTATGATGAGGGATCCTTAGTTGCTGGTCCAGTCTGCCCTTTCGGGGCATCACGCTTGTATTACAAAATCCCTCATGCCTGTAACCTTTAATCATGAAGTCCGCACTTGGTGGACTGTTATTCACCAGTCCTCCCGCTATTGGTTCCAGTCGTCCATATAGGGACTTGCCAGAATGAGGTGTGGGTTGCTTCATAGAATTGAGGCTTTGGTTATCTATGGCTGCATAACATATTATCCAAAAATTGAGTGGCACAAAACATGATTTTGTGGGTCAGGGGTTTGGGAAGAGCTTGACCAGGTGGTTATCCATTGTGATATCTCATGTGTACAGTCACCTGAAGGCTTGACTAGGCTGTATAACTCACTCACGTGGGAGCCATTGATGCTGGCTGTCCTCTGGGAGCTTACCTGGGGCATCACCTTCAGAGTCTCCTGGCATCTCCATTTACTCAGGCTTTTTATAGCACGGTGGCTGGATTTTGAAAGGCAGCATCTGAAAAGCAAGCATTCCAAGAGATCAAGGCAGAAATTGTGCAGCATCATTTCAATGCATTCTATTGATTATAGGTGAGTTATGAAGGCCAGAATAGATTTAATGAGAGGAGAATTATTTATAGTCCACCTCCTAATGGAAGTGTCCACTGTTGTTCATTATAATGAATATGCCATATAAAATGATTTGTCTTTTTAAATCATATATACTATAACTGACAGAAAATGAGTACAACTAACTAGGGGTTTACTTTAGACTGGGTTTCTCTTTGTCACTAAACCAAGCTCACATCTTCCTATTTGTTGGCTTTGCACTCGTGCCAGTTCCCTCTCAAGGTTATATTTACTGTATTTTGCCGTGTATAATGTGCACCCACACTTTTGGCCCAAACTTTCAGGGGAAAAATCTTTTGTTTCAATTTTTTAGTTGAATTATTTATTTATGTACCTTTAGATACTTGTTTTTTGTATTATAAAAAAAGTTAGCATTTATTGTTGAACATATTATGGTACAAGAAATTTTATGTAACAAACAATTACAAAACACAGGAACAGATATAAGGTATTTCAGGTACTACTCATGTATAATGTGCACCCTTGTTCTTCCCTCAAAAATTTGGGTAAAAAAGTGCACATTATGCATGAAAAAATACAGTCTCCAAATTAACTGGATCACCTTTTTCTATTTACCACAGGAATGATTCATTTATAAAACCATTTGATATATTTGGGTGGTATTTTTTTTCATCAACTGTATTAGTTTCTTCCTGGATTATTGGTGTATTCAGATTTTCTGTTTCTTATGGGATAATTTTTTTTCTCAGAAATGTATTTATTGAGTTGAGATTTTAAAATTGTCATCAATCTTCTTTAATGTGTATTATACAGCTACTTTAATGATAGACCATAATTAAGTTTCAAGGTAGAAGATAAGTTTAACTACTTTCTTGGATTATTTAAAAATAGATTAATACCATCTTTAATTTTTAAAAAATCTCATTGTAAAAGTGTACTACTCGGACAGTGGCAGAGCTGGTTTTACCAAGATAAGCGATTTTTAGCTAAGAACTATAAAATTTACTGTGTGCTAGTTTCTGTAGCACATAATAAAGAAACCCGTAAAGGTCAGTTCAGCAAGAAGTAGAGAAACACACTCGGATTCGGTCTCAGTGGTCCCAGGGTCCACAGTACCCAGGGTCCATGGGGGTCCATTGGGTCTATGTTTCTTGGAGGAATATTTTGATCTAAAGACAGAGAGTTATTTACCAAAGTAACTCAATAAACCAGTTAAGTCACTCAAAGAGAATAATTTTCAAAGGATTATTTATCAGAAAGATAATCATTAGTAACCCATTATATGTACAAGGAGAAAAAAGAAAAATAGAGAAATGTAGCTAAGGAGTGAAACCATAAGTCTCCTGAAATTCCCTGATAACCAAAATAAAGTCGGTTGTTTGTTTGGTTAGTCTGATGCTGTGTTTGTTGTTGATGGCTTTATTTGTAGAATTTGGGACCCTCACAAAACAAATGATTGCTTTGATTTTCTACCTTAATTTGCAGCCTGGGGTATACCTTGCATGTGAAGTTGACTTAAGACAGGCTCCCCAGATGGCCAGGTGATTTCAAGTGACCAGACTGAGGAGCAGTTAACAGTGATTATGTGGTAAGAGTGCCTATGAATAAGTGGTTTCCACAACTATAGTATCACATTTTCTCTTTATGAATTTATTAAAATTCACTAACTTCTTTCATTCTCCTTCTTTTTTGGCTTTGCTTCCTTCTTATCTCTTCCCTCCCTCCCTTTCATTCATCACTTATTAAATACTATGTGTCAGGCACTATGCTAAGTCTGAGGATTTGAAGAAAACGTTTCTTGCAAGCCCTGGCTGGTGTAGCTCAGTGGAATGAGCACAGGCCTGCGAACCAAAGGATCACGGTCGATTCCCAGCCAGGGCACACGCCTGGGTTGCAGGCCAGTTCCCAGCAGAGGATGTATGAGAAGCAACCATACATTGATGTTTCTCTCCCTCTCTCCTTCCCTTCCCATCTAAAGATAAATAAATAAAATCTTTTTAAAAAAACATTTCTTGCTTTTTTTAAAGGGGTAAGAAGATAGTGAAGGGGACATTCACTATAAGAAAACAAATAGTTATAATACAGTGTGGTACATGGTCTAAGAGAGAAACAGAATAATCCTAGAATGTATAGAAAAGTTGCTCTGTACAGACCTGGAATGGTAAGAAATAAGGTCAGTTTGATTTTTTTGCTGTTGACTGCTCCTTCAGAAGGGAACTGTAATACTTTTGCAGATAGAACAGGACCAGTGACAGTTAACCAGATTAAAGTGATGATATTTCAAATTAGGTCACTGGAGATGGGGAAATAAAGAACAGGACTAGACACGATGAAGGCAAAAGTAAATAAAAGACAGTGAGAAAAAGGAGGGAAAGGTGGGCGTCTTACAAGATGAGTAAGTTCCAGTGATCTGCTGTACAACATGCTCAACAGTCCTGTATCCTACACCTAAAAATGTAAAGCAGTAGAAACTCACGTTAAGCATCCTTGCCATAGTGAGTTGGAAACACCACCAGCAACAGCAATACTCCCAGGATACAGTCCCGTGCTGGCCAGGCTGAGCCGCACACAGCTGAGAAGGATGCCTGCTCCCCACATGAGTCAGACCTCAGAATCCACTGGAATCCTTCTCTGTTGCCTTCATTTTTCTGAGTTTTGTTTTGTTGTGTGTTTTTATTTGGAAATAAAACGACTACTCAGTATTTCTAAGGTGTCTCTAATCAGATCACCTAGAGTTAAAGAAACTGTTTAAGGGACTAGCTTTGGAATCGGAGAGTCACCGTTTACTTTATTTTTTACAACCGGGTAGTTTCCGGCCTGTTTTCTTTCCATTTGTCTCTCTGTCAGTCTAGGACATTTGTGGATGTGCATTCACTTAACATTTCAGTATATCTCCAATCCTCTAGTCCTCCAAAGCAGCAATTTTCAACCTTTTTTATCTCACGGCACACATAAACTCATTACTGAGATTCTGCAGCGCACCAAACAATATGTTATATTTTCCACCAATCTGATAAAAATAGGCATAATTTTGATATATTCACACTGGATGGCTGTTGTGTTGGCTGTTGTCATTTTTTAAGTTGACATGCTGAGGGAAAAGAGGCCAGTGCTCCTGAGTCAATAGTCAGGTATTGCATGTTTTAAAATTTCTTGCCCTGATTTGTGTGGCTTAGTAGGTTGGTCATCATCTCACAAAGTGAAAGGTCACCGGTTCGATTCCTGGTCAGGGCACATACTTGGGTTGCAAGTTTGGCCCCTGGTCAGGGTGCATGTGAGAGGCAACTGATTGATGTTTCTCTCTCACATCAGTGTTGTCCTCCCTCTTTCTATCTCCCTTCCCTGAACTCTAGAAATAAATAAATAACTCTTAAAAGCAACTTCTTACTGCACACTACTGTGCCTTTTGTGGCATACCAGTTGAACATCACTGCTCTAAAGTTTCAAGACTTTTCTGAGATGCATAGAACTTTTAAGTCATACTAGGGACTTTGCACATAACTAACTGGAATCCTGTCGTGAAAACAGTTTGCTAAGTTTAGTTAGTTTCAAGTAAACATTTATTAAGCACCTACTACATGCTAATAACTGTTCTAGGTGCTGAGAACAGAAAGTTGAATAACACGATCGCCATCATGGAGAATTTCTAGTTTCGTGGAGGAGACAAACAGATACTACTTAATATCTTTTCTGTCTGGGTTTGTAGTTTTTAACTGTGCACCTCCCCACCCCCACCCTCCACCTCTGAGTCCCAGCTTGGCTTTGTTCCTGGTTTGAGGATGTCTGGTTCTCCTCTAGTGGCCTTTGATCCTTTTTTACATGAACATTTTGTGAACTTTCAGACTGCTTATGGGACAGGCTTGCTTTTCCCTGGCTTGTCTGCGCAAAAAGATGGAAAGCAAACATTTCACCTCCCTTCCAGGGAGGATTTGGAGTTAAGTTCTTTTTAATCTCAAGGACAGCTAAATTTTCGGTTTTTAATTAACAAGTTAATTTCGAAACGATCAAAGTCTATTGTGAAAATGCCACAGGAGAGGAGGGCGATGTGAAGGGACGCAGGGCCTCAGAGGGAAACAGGAAGTTGTGGAAAAGGGATTTTCCAATGAGAGGGGCTCACCAGAGCGCCTCTTGCGAGGCTGGGAGCTGAAGCTTAGAGAAGCAGCCTGGAGAGCCATTGCTCCAGAAGAACAGGGTGAGTGGAACTCAGCAAGGGTCACTGTGTGAGGTCCCAAAGTCACAGGTCTCAGAACATCTGCCTTCAGCGGAGAAGCCCCTTTCCTAGACACGGAAACCAAACCAGCCATTTCCTGGTCCACACCCAGCACTGCCCAGCACAGTGAAGTCCACTCAGGCTTACTCCTTATATGACCACCCAAGGGGACCCCCATCCACTCCTTCAAAGACCCAGACTATGAACAGATCCAGGAGAAAAGGGCAAGGGCTCTACTCTTGGGTGGGGGCAGGGAGTTCCCTCACACTCGATTAGACGCTGAATCGAAGAAGCTTAAAATCAGCCTGCATTGGAATAATAACTGACGTCCCTGTTACCTGTTTGTCTCCCCCAGGCTCTGCTCACCCACCTGCCCACTTGCCACCAGTACCTCTTTAGTCCCTACAGCAAGCCATTAGGTGTAAACTATAGATGTCAATTGATATTATAAAAATTTTTCAGGAACACTATTCCTTTCTTCCCCTTTATGCACCTTTCTACCACATTTGAATCTTCCTTTTCTTATATTGTCTGCCTTTTCTTTGAACTTGACCTTGAGACTAGATTCTCCAATTGGATGCTTCTCCTACTTTTGGCTCTTTGGAATGTGGCTGTCCTGTAGGATTCTGAGTTTTTCTGCTCTCACAGCCTTGGTGTCTCCTGCTCTACACAGAGCCCAGCCAAACTCCTGCCCCTTGGCCAGTGTCCTAACCAGGCTATCTCCCCCTTTCCCTCACCAAACGGGGAATAGAAGGAGGAGACCCTGTTCCTGAGCCTTAGGACAAGCTCCAGGGCATTGGCACCGGTGCCTTTTTCTTTCAATTAAGCCTACCTGCAAGGAATACCTGTCAAGTTCCACAGAGTTAACACACAGTTAGCTCCCTGGCTCAACCTAACTTTATGGGAATTTCAGAGGAAATATCTTTGCATTCTACTCTTAAGATAGAAAACCAGGGCCTGGGTAAACTGATGTGTGAGGTAACTGTGAGAGCTCAGGCTTGTGGCTCTCAGACACACCTTTACTTGTCCTCTTGAGCACCTGATATGGTTTAAAAAGGATCCATTTGCCAGTCCTGAAATGGCTCATCCAGCTGATGGGAAGAAGACCCAGAGGGTTCCTATGCACTCTCACAGGTTAAATTACAGATTAATTTATATGTGGCTAAATAGAAAATTGGTTTGCCATATTTGCACAAGATCAAACAGAATGGCAATGTCCCTGAGCTTTGGGGGTACCTATAAGATGCAAGTCAGAGAAAGGGATGTGGCACCCACTTTCTTATCTTGCAACTACACTGCAACACACACATATCCCCACTAATTCCAGAAGAGGCCACCTGGTTTCACCCAAGGCAAGATGCCTCCCAAGGCCTGGATAGACATGCGCCATCATTTAATCATATTGTACATAATGATTACTGCTCACAGAATGATTGCTTTGGGCTAGGCAAGCCTTACAATTGCCTTCTAAAGCAAATGTTATTATGTTCATTTTATATGTGAGGGACCTGGGTTTAGAGAGACTGAGCCCAAGCACACACACGAAGTGACAGAGCTAGGGATTCTACGCCCGGCCCGTCGGGCACCAGAGAGAGTACCCCAGTGTTCCCACCCGTGTTGGGTGAGGACACCCGCTTCACTGGACCCACTTTTTCCAATGAAAAAAAAGTTCTTGATAACAAAATATTGAAAAGATAAAATGTTACATAAACTTCTAGCCTGAAACATTTAACTTACCTTATAAATGGAATAAAGACATAAACAGTTTATGTATCCTAAAATTATAATGCAGTAACATATTTAACTTCTTAAGTATAATGGAAGTTATTCAAATAGTTATAGTTGTTTAAATAGACTCACTGAGGGAATATAATAAATTAAATGTTACCTACCATTCAGCAAATCTGAGGTGTTTTCAGGAGTATACGTCATTTGGCAATGGCTTATTAGAAAACTGTGGGCCCAAGTTAAAACCAATGCCAATGATATATGATATATGCTAAATTAACAATGATGTACTTACCTAAGTCATTTATAATCACTCAGAAACATACTTAATAATATATTTATGATCATTTGAAAAGCAGAATAATGGTAACAAATAATAGCCATCACAGAATAATCCTGATGTTTAATTGATAGCAAAGTGGCTTAATTCATACAGTCAGATTCCAAATCTTTGCTTGTGGAAGTGCTCATGGGTGCTTTGAAACAGCGTGGCAACCATTATTCTTACTAGTAGGCCATTTTAGTCTCGAATTTTCCACACTAATGGCTGCCTACCCCAAGTATACTAAGGCCTCTGTACTCTTATGTGATCTGAAAATAAGCCTGGATCTAGCTCTACTGAACTGGGACAGAACAGTAGTTTAACAACTGTAAACAGAAGATCACTGTGAGGTACCCAATAGGGAGGATTTGATAGAGGTGCACCATGTCAGCTGAAGCATCATCTTGTAGATTGCCCATCACAGTAAATGGTTGTCCTACAGCCGGAATATCAGACCAAAAACACCTGCTAAAGGAAGTCGCCTATCAAGATCATAGTAAGTACTCAATAAATACTTGTTTAATAAATGTGTTTTAATGGTTATAAGCATCAAGGACAAATGTAACTGAACTGGTAAAATATTAGTATTAAACTCTCGTATTACTATAACATATCTAGTCACCTTCTTTCTTTTCTCTCATAAGCTTTGAATTCCTATTAATATGCAAGTAATCCAAATAATTTGTCTTTAATTCTGTGATTATTAGAACCACCGCGTGGAAACCAATCTGATTTTGCAAGTGCAATAAACTGTGGATGTCTGTCAGTAGATACGACTAACACAATCTTTTATACAATTACTGTTTTTACTGTATAATAATACTGATGTCTCAAAGAAAACATTGTGTGTATGCATGGTTAATAATGGCAAGTTTTTCTCATATGCCTTACCTGGATGAGCATCCTGAAACCAAGTAACTACTCAGAAAAGAAACTCATCTAGAAACATCTGGATGCTTAAACTTTTAAACTGAAATCTAAATATTTGAGTGATATAACCTGTCAAACTCAACTGCACTATATAAGCCCAAGGAAATATTCAGCTATTGCAAGGAAATGTGTATCAATAAAAACCATGTTCTGAGTTCCTACGAAGTCAGTGAATAGATTGTAGCCAGTTTTAAAAAACAAACTCTGTTCATCAAAGAATTCTTGTAGCTTATTTAGAATACCCCAAACACTTTAATCAACACTGCTAAGACCAAGAAATAAGAAAATGTGATATATGTGCCTTCCCACATATTTTTATTGCTTCATCCCTTCTTTAAATGTATAGAACAACTGCCACAAAGACTTTAAAGGCTTACTCTTGTGGACCAATGTGTTGACAAAACATTAAATCATATCTCTGTGGAGGGCGACTTTTCCTGCATGTCCCCCCACCAACCACCACGGATGAAAGTAAACAAGACAACAGACGTGATGTGATCTGCTTGGGGAGGAGAGGTGGCTAGTTTCCCAGAGAAAAAAAGGACTTGAGCAGTGGCCAATTTCCCAGGGGAAAAAGGTGTTGAGCCCCTTCCTCCAAAGGCTTTTATTGGGTTGTAATACACAGGAATACAGGGCAGCAAGGATCAAACAGTGGATAACATTTCAAAGAAATCTGAGGGCATAGTGTGAATCAGTGTCTGTCAGGAAAGGGGGTTGCAGAACTTTGGGGAGACATACTCATTTCCTCTCAGACCCTTATCATATGAATGAAAGCACTCTTAGCAGAGCAGATTTCACAGGTTTATCAGGAAGTCTTTGTGATGCCAGATTGTTCCCCAGGACATGATCTAGCAGGGCAAGGAGCAGCACCCCTCCCCATCAGGTATTCAGGCTTAAGGGGATTGAGCCAGGAGGGTGGGTGGCAAGAGCCCATTGCTCTTTGTTGCAGTCCCCCGAGTCCTTCCATGATGGCCTCCCATGTAGTCGAGTCTGGCTTAGGTTGCCTCCTGCCATGAGGGGTCTTACCTGTTATTGACTTCTGACCAAGCTTTGGGGGCAGGGAGAGGAAACTGAGGCAGTGTTTGCTACCAGAGACAAGCTTTGTCTCCTGTGGCTGGCATTCCAGAGGTCACTGATTCCTTCTTAGCCACAGGGGGTAGAGTCACAATTCCTAGAACCAGAGCAGTCCACAACAGATCTCTGCTATCTTCCTCTGAAATTTTTCTCAGGAAGAGTTAATCGATGTGTTTGATATTTGAATATTCACTAATCATTGACAGCTAAAAGGCAGCTGCTCCGAAGAATTTAACATGCAATTAATAATATTTAAAATCCACATTATGTTGTAAATTATGGTATTAGTGAAACTTTCATTGTTGTGATTACTTGGTACTTTATTCCACTAAAAACGTATTCAACTAATTTTTACATATCGTAGTGGCTTACTTTAGTTGAATATGATCCAGAGGTGTCGATATGAGGGCAGTGATGTTAGGCATTCATCTCGCAATAAAAAGACTGTGGAAATTGAATATAAATGCTGGCAATAATATGCACTTAATGCACACTAAATTTGCTTATAATACCTCTTCCCTAGAAACTTGTTTAAATTTGGGTGAAATTGAAGAAGTTTTTCAGTCCACAATGGCTCAGATAATTGGCTTGTGCATCTAATCTTTCATTTTAAATAGCCCTGAGAAGACTCAGGAGGTCAGACAGTCAACTCTCAATTCCATCCCACAAGTCCACTGTCGACCACCCACTCCCTGCTGTGCTTGTGCCAAGCATCTCGAAGGATACAAAGTGAATAGGACACTGTCCACCCTCAAGAACTCTAACATCTCCTAAGGGGAAATTACTATGATACAAGTTCCAAAACAATTTAATTAAATGTGCTATTGAAAAAATAGACTGTAGCAATTTTTGTCTTCTTAAGAGGATTGTCATCATTCACACAAAAAGAATTTGCTATGGGCTTACTTTCACTCTTTCACTGATAGAAACTATGGTGAAGTGGGGCAAAAAAAGAAAGAACAAAAAAGAAAAATTTAAAAAGAGGCAAAATTAAAAGCCTCTTCTAGGTTTTCCAAGATGCTCAGGGGTCAGTGAAGCAGGTATTTTTCAGCAGAGCACATTAATGAGACGAGTTTGGACTAGAAAGCTAAACTACTCTGCATGATAAAGGCAGGAAATGGAGGTTCTGGGGCCTGAGAAGCAGAACCTTGGAGAACAGACTTACATGAGGACAGTGTTGCTCAGCAGGTGGGAGGCTGGAGCTGGGAGGAGAGGGGCCCGTGAGCAGTTCCAGAGGCAGCGTGGTGAAAGATTCTTTGCACGGGGTGTCACGTGTGCCATTACAAACTGCTTGCTTTGCTTTAACCTAACTGGTCTTCATCCTATATGTCAAGTGGAGAAGGAGTTGCAGGGGAGGGGGGGGCGTGAATTAAAGGAGTGGAGCTCTTCATGTCACTTTTGGGTGGAGATGGTTGAACATCTGTAAAATGTGATACGTAATTTGGATTAGACAGCTCGGAGCCCACAGAAAGCAGAACATACATCTGGAGAATTTGCAAAACTATAAGGAAGAGCATTAAACTTCCTACGAAATGAACTTGAATTGAGTTTAGTATTTTTCAAAGATGATAGTGATATTTGCATTTCATAAGGTAGCATGAGACAGCTGTCCTCAAAGATGTCCAAAGTGCTGCAGGGCTCTCAGGAGGGGGTTAGGGCACCATGGGGACAGACAGGGATGAAGGAAGAGAAGCAGAGCTGGCGTGTTTCCTACATTGTTCATTTCCCTCAACATCCTTTTGCAGTGAGGAAGTCTGCTTTAAAAAGAGACACCACTTTATTGCATCATTACAACCTTGAAGGCAGGTTTCAGTATCACTGCTTTTTAGATTAGAAAACTGAGGCTGATCAAAGACAGATACAGGCAGGACTGGAGCCAGCCAGGTGCCTGGGTCACCTCTGCCTTAACCGTGCATAACACATGGAACTGGTGCATGAGCCAACATTCGAGTTTGGCCTTGGATTTCAGGAGGCAAAGATATGGTGGGAGGGGGAGGATTCCCCATGCAGAGGGATCAGAGCAAAGGCAAGGAAATGGGGTTTGGTGGTTTCAGGCCTGGGTGAGAAGAACAAACAGGTCGCATGCGAGGCGCACAGAAAGTGCTAACTAAACATTTACAGAACAAAACGAATTTCCACCTCATCCCCATTCCACAGCATGGACCAGATGCAGAAACAGGATATGGTTCAGTCAGACTGACTCATGGTTTCCACAGGTGGTTTTGGGTGGTCAGAAATCTGGAAGGAAGTAGGGGCCAAGTGGCAGAAGGTTTTAAAAGGCCTGGTGAAACATGGATAGCACCTGATTTAATAGTCCATGAGGGGACACTAAAAGTTTTGAGCAGGGGTGTCACATGGTTGCCACTGTACTGTCAGAGAATTACCCTGGCAGTGGGTGAAGGATGACCTAGAGAAGGACATCTTAGGCTTGAATGTAATGCTAACTCTGTTTCCTTACGTCTGCGATTCTGCATCTCTAATGAGCTTTATGCTGTAGAGACTGACCCAGGGGACTGGGTGGGCTCGGGACTCTGACAACCGCACTAGAGGAACACTGAAGGGGCAGGCCAGGGGGAAAGTGAGAAGTTATGCACTTGGAGGGCTTCCTTTTTTCAGAGCTTCAGGACGGGAAGAAGAGTTAGAGAAGGAAGAAGTGGCAATAGGAGGAGTCTTTAGGGAGCTCTTCCTCCATCCCTGGTACAGGAAAGGATCTGAGCTAATGTACTGCTCTGTCCCTTCCCAGCTTTTCCATGTATACGTGAGGGTGCTTCCAGTTGTCACTCCTCTCCCACTGCTGACTACAGGAAGTTGATGTTGTCTGGCTGCCTGCCATTGCAGCAGTATTCACCAACCTCCTGCTGAGAGCTTCAGGGTGTGCGGTTGGGGATCTGACCCACGGTTTTCTCCTCCTGGGCCCTGGCTCCTGGCTCTATTTCTCCCTTTCATCCCAGTCTGGACCCAGTGGCAAGACCTCTCTGCTTTGCCCCTGCATCTGGTCCAGGGTATAGTGAGGGGATGTGTGGAGATAGTTCTGTTCCATCAGTGTTTATTTAGCACTGTTTGTGTGATCATCCAACCTTGCACCTTTATTTTCCTCCCAAGCAGGAAACCTCCAGATCGGAACCCCAACTTTGAACTGCTTCAGCTGTGCTTCTTTTGAACTCAGCCTTAGAATCCCACTTCCTTGCAAGAGACTGTGCTTGCCCCTGTCTCCTGCATCCCCCTGCTCCCTCATTCGTCTCCGAGGTTCCACTTCTTCCTGATCTCCAGCAGCCTAGAGTCTCCGTAACTGGGTAACCATTAGCCAGGGGATTGGTGACAATTCCAAGTGCTACAGAGAGCTGCAGGACAATGCGAACCAGGAAGAGGTCATTGCGTTTGCCAATTGGGAGTCATTAGTGACTGTAGACTAGAGAGAGTAGCTTTAGTAAAATGGTGAAGGCAGAAACCAGATCACAAGTAGTGCAATAAATGGTGGACGGTGAGGGTTAGAAACAGCTAATGTAAAGTGTTTGAAGACATTTGTTGAGAAAAAGAGAAAACAGAAGCTCAAACCAGCAGCGGGATTGAGGGAAGGAATTGTGAATAAACTGGAGGATTTACCAGGATTGTAGAAAGAGAAAAATGCTCCGACAGAGACCAGAGGGAAAGAGAACCCTCTGTTTCTACCAGGGACATTCACGTTTTGAGAAGGGACTTTTCCAGCCTGCAGACAAGTTTCATTTTGCCTGGATGGTCTTTTAAAAGCATTTAACAAATTGCCTCAGTTTTAAAAAATTGGGAACTTAATGTTTTTTTAAAATCTGGATTTCTATTTTTTTCCTTGAAAAGTGTAAGAGCTAGCATCTTTGACTGCACATTCCCACAGCTGTCATTTATATTATTTGCCAGTCTCTAAAGGCATTACCCTTCCTGATTACCCCTCAATTTTTATAATGAGTCCCTACCTTGCCTAGGTATCAGAGTGTCCTCTGCCATCCTGGAAAGTGCCCTGCCCCGAGGTATCACCAGTGAGAGAGCCTGGCCAGAGACCAGAACAGAGACCAGAACAGAACCTTTACATTCTGTGAAATGAACTAAAAAGATATCGTTGAACTATTATAGCTGAAAAGCAGCAGAAGTCCCTTGGAATTCTTGGAGCAACTAGTGCCTGAGGTTTTTCTGGCTGCTGACTTCACAGGCTTGTCTAGATCAGTGGTCCTCAACCTCAGCTGAAAATTAGAATTACTTTGGGACCTTAAAACACAGATGTCCCAGAGATTATGTATGATTTGATTAATTTTGGTGGGTTCCGGGCACTGCTTCTTAAAGGTTCTAACGTGTAGCCAAATTAACTAGCACTGTCATGCTTTCTGGCATTAACCCCTTCCACTCCAGGCCTTCTGTAGCCCCCAGACAACACCCTGGGCATCTGCACTAGACATTGTATTTCTCAATCCACCTTTTCACCTGATTCCACTGCCATAACACAGCTACCTGTCTGGCTGCTCTTTGCACAGAGCATTTCACCTCTTGTGACTGAGTTCAATGATCTAGAATTTTAACTCTCAGCTGGCAACACTGACCATTTGGCCTGAGCTCAATAAAGGACAGTGTGGCCTCTCTCTTACTGGAGCTAGAACAAAGCCCCAGAAAGAAGAAAGTGGAAGAATCGAAAGCCAAAGAAACAAATCTACAAAAGGGAAGAGTGAAATATGGGTCAGGTAACCAGTTGTCCTAAATTGACTGAGACCATCCTAGATTTTATCTTTTTGGGTAATCATTTTGGGGTAAGAATTTAGATTTCTTGTCAGAGAAGTAGAAAGCCTAGAGATTAGGTGATTTATAACTTTTTGGTTGGTGGGTTAGGAGTGGGAGAAAAATTGCAAAAACTAAATAGTGTTTACAGAATTACTAAGGTTTTTAGCAACTTTCTAAATTTTGTCAATTTTTTTAAAACAGCTATAAGAGCTTTATCCAATAGAACTTTCTGTGAAAAGATTTTTTTTTGTGTGCTATCAACAACAGTAGCAATTGAGTACTTGAAATGAGGCTATTATGACTGAGGATCTGAATTTTTAATATCATTTCATTTCAATTAGGTTAAAAGTAAACGAAAACTCCCATGCGTGTCTAGTAGCTACTTAGTGTCCAAGGCAGATCTCTAGAGCTGCTGTGGTCTGTGATGCACACATTTGGGTGTGACTCTTCCCTCATACCTCCTTTTTAGAGAAACTATCTCATTTATAGCTTTTGGAAAGAGCAGCCCTATGTATTGAACATACTGTAGAAGATATAACTGGGTCAATCTGAATTGCGTCAATCCAAACTGAGTCATTTAGTTTGTCTCTGCCAAGACCCTGGAACTGAGATACTGAAAGACTGTGTCCCTTTGTTAATGGTGAGTTGAACAAGTAGGGTTGGCACTAGAGACCGTGCTATGGAAAGACAAAGCCCTGAGCAACCTGAAGTTATGTTGGGCTAGAGACTGGAAACTACGTGGTGAAACCAGGGGGAGGGGATTGAGGAGAGAGGAGGAAGGAGAGGGAAGAAATCGTGTTGTTTTGTAAGTGATGGACATAATACCTGAGTTTTGTTGAAGACATTGTTTCTAATTTGGGGGTTAAAGAAGAGAAAAAATATGTTAAAAATACAGAAAAAGAAAAACAGGAAGGTAAGAAAATGTCTTAATGTAAATTCTAGAAATAATGGTGATATGTATTACCTAATAAGCCAGCTTAGAACCCCATTCTTCAGTTGACAAAGAATGATTCTCTGTAATTGGGAAGGTGGTTCTTTTTGACCACTTGATAACGGACATACGAGGCTGGGCACAT